GCGGTTGCATAAGCCCGCTTTAATGCTTTTTTAAAAGCAGAAGGGCGGGCTAAAAAACACACTTCATTTCGAAAAATTGTTGGTTGAGCTATTGGCGAAGCCTATTACTCCGTCTGGCCGGAAAAAAAACTTTTTCTGTCTGTGTGTCTGTCCGCACGATAACTCGAGAACGCATTAAGCTAGCGACCCGGGATTTTCAGGGTCGTTTGTTTTGTACCACTAAAAGACAGGTCGAGTTCGAAGATGAGCAGTCGAGCTTAAAATTGGATTAAAAAAACAAAAAAAGAAAAACAACGGATCCCGAAAATGACGGTTTTGAAAATATATTTTTTATGGAATTTAGACGAATAAAAGCAAAAAAATGCATGCTTAGTCGAGGTTATGGGCCGCTGACGGGCCGTAGGCGTACCTTCGTGTACATTCTTCTACTACCCGACTCGGGTGTCAGCGCAGCAGGCCAAGGTAGATGAATGCCAGGCGCGTCGCAGCGTAACAGTGTTTCGTGAGATATCGCGAAGCCTGTTACGCGAGACGAGGTCTGGCGTACATCTACCTTGTTTATTTATGGAGTAATAGGCACTGCTATCGCTTAGCCTACAAAACTCAACCGTCGTCGCGCCCCCCACCCATCAACACAATTGGACCACGAAATCTGTGAGGCATTCACCTTACAGTACACAAGCAACTCCAAACTGCGGCCGCGATAAGACAAACCGGTTACCCTACTATCTTGTCTTCTAACAACTTTGGCGCCCCACGACGACGGGGCTCCACCCGAACCACCAGTCACCAGTATGAACGGGTCCGTGACCCACGGGCCTATGCCCTTCCCTGCCTCGTGCGCCGGGGCGCCGCTCGTCGTCTTCGCAACGATGCTCATCGACGTGGTGAACAGCAGGTTCGAGGCCGAGTACCAGCGTCGGAGGAAGGAGGACGAGGCGAGGGCCGTTGACGAAGAGTACGACTTTATTGTGGTGGGCGGAGGCACCTCAGGGTGAGTGCGACGGAGTAAGAGGAAGAGAGCACTGCCACACTTAAAGGCGAAGTGCATTTTACTGCATAACTATGGACTAGGGTTGCGAAATTACCGGTAACAATCATTGTTACGGTAAATAGGGTGTTCCAGGCAACCTAAAAGGGAAGTACATAAGAACAAACTCACTGACCTTTCTGTTTCCGTAATGGCTCTGATTGGTCGAACTAATCACGTGCCTCCGCGGCCTTTCAGAGAGTTTCAGAGAAACTGCCAGATCAGTCTCGAGCTCCACTCCATATTTGAGAGGTTAGTATCGGACCAAACTAACATGGTAGTTTCTCATACTGGGCGGACGAAAACAGATAAATCAGTGAGTTTGTTCTTTTTCACTTCCGTTTTAGATAGCCTGGAACACCCTATTACGAACTAGCAATATGTACGCCAGACCAGTCTCGCGTAACAGGCTTCGCGATATCTCACGAAACACTGTCACGCTGCGACGCGCCTGGCATACATCTACCTTCGCCTGCGGCGCTGACACCCGAGTTGGGTAGTGAGAAAATTCACTCAAAGGTACAGGCCTAGGGTCCGTCAACGGCCAATCATTTCGACTAAGCATGCAGGGTTGTACATGTTTTCGCTTATTTTCGTCAAAAATATCCTCTAGCGCCTCAACGGTTTGAGCTAGAGCAAAACAGACAAAATATTCGCCCAGAGGGCTCTACTTTGATGAGTTACCCCTTAAACAAGCAGGCCCGCCCTTCCGCCAAACGAAGTTGCCAGCTCCGCTTCGCTGCGCCGGCAACTTCGGCAGGGGCTGGGCCTGCTTGGCCTGCCGGCGGCGACGCTCGGGCCTGCGGCCCAACTGTTTTTGCTAAATTTGCTGTAAACCATAATCAAATAATATAGCGGGCCTTCGGCCCGCCAAAACCCGTCGTCATTAAAATTTGCCCCTTAGACGCATGAGAAAGGAATGTTGTAACCGTGACTACAACCCACCCTTCTGCTTAGAAAAACTTTTTAAGGAGGAAGGGGGGGGGGGGAGTTCCTGTACAACTAAATGTTAACTACAGCAATTTTTAGCTTATTTTCGTCAAAAAAGACCCTCCAGCGCCCAAACGGTGAGAGGTAGAACCAAACGGACAAAATTTGAGCCCGAAGGATTCTACTTTAACGAGTTACCCCTTAGACCATAAATAAAATATTTTTTTTTAACTTTTTTGACCAACCCTCTTTTCTTTGATACCCCGTTTCAGCCCCGTAGGGTTGGTTGCGAGGATTTGCCGTAGGCATTTCGTTTTCTAGGAGTGAACCTTAAGATACCCTAAAAAATTTAAAGTCTCTAGCACATCTCCTTCTAGTGGAACAGACAGACAGACAACATTTAGTTGTACAGGAAGCCCCTCCCCCCCTTAAAAAAGAAGTTTTTCTAAGCAGAAGGGTGGGTTGTAGTCACGGTGCGTCACCGTTACATTCCTTTCTCATGCGTCTAAGGGGCAAATTTTAATGACGCCCGCTATATTATTTGATTATGTTCTTCAGCAAATCTAGCAAAAACGGTCGGGCCGCACGGTCGGGCTGCAGGCCCGAGCGTCGCCGCCGGCAGGCCAAGCAGGCCCAGCCCCTGCCGAACGGAGTTGCCGGTGGAGCGAAGCGGAGCTGGCAACTTCGTTTGGCGGAAGGGCGGGCCTGCTTGTTCTATATCTTATTGTTCACTATGGCAATATTTAGCTTATTTTCGTCTAAAAAGACCCTTTAGCGCGTAAACGGTTAGATAGCGAAACGGACGAAATTTTCGCCCAAAGGGCTCTACTTTGACGAGTTACCCCTTAGGAGACCATCCAATATTTTCAAAAATTAATAAATTTATTTTTGGGCCACTTTTGTGAGAGAAACTCACTCTAGTGCCCAAATGGTGAGAGATAGAGCAAAACGGACGAAATTTGCGCCCAAAGAACTCTACTTTTACAAGTTACCCCTTAGAAAATCGTAAAAGAATATATTTTTTCCAACTTTTTTGGCCTTTCCTGTTTTCTACGATACCCACTTTAAGCCCCTTAGGGGTGGCTGACAGGATTTGCCGTAGGCGTTCTGTTTTGTGGGAGTGAACCTTGAGATCCCCTGAAAATTTGAAGTCTCTAGCACATCTCCTTCTTGTGGAACAGACAGACACACAGACAGACAGACACGAGGTCGTTTGCATCAGCCCGCTGGATAGCTTTTTCAAAGCAGAAGGGCGGGCTAAAAATCCAATATTTGAGCAAGAATGCTCATCTTCGAACTCGATCTGTCTTTTTAGCCCGCCCTTCTGCTTTTAAAAAGCTATCTAGCAGGCTTACGCAAACGACCTCGTGTCTTTCTGTTTGTCTGTCTGTGTGCCTGTGTGTCTGTGTGTCTGTCTGTTCCACTAGAAGGAGATGTGCTAGAGACTTGAAATTTTCAGGGTATCTT